TTGTTGGCTCCCACATGAACTGCTACCACTGGTTGTACACCCTCCTTTTCCAGAAGTTTATTCAGTCTTTCCATTATATCCCAAACTCTTGCAACCAAGAGGCAATAGATCATACAGGATTCACGATCTTGACTGCAAACTTGTTTCAAATTTTTTTGACACCAAGTCTGTCATGATCCCCTGGATAGTCATGGTGACTGAGCCAACTTCTCTCAAAATCCTCCTCAGTCACTTCTTACCGACACCCTCTGTTCTGATGTGATTACAGTTATCACTTATGTGTCTTGTTCTCATGATAACTGCTGATCTGACATGACAAGGAGACAATTACTGCACATACTGGAATACTTCTGATAGTTTAAGAAGTAATTTATCATCTGAATGCAAGTTCAAGACAGATTGGAGATATTCCTAAATCATTCAAAACATGTTTATCTCATATAACACTGGTTTGAGCTCAACTCTCCCTGAGGTAGAAACATTAACGAATGCTGCCCATTTAGTGTGAAGACACTGCCACTTTGTGAAGCTACTGTGAGGTTTCGAACTGTTAGGGCAAGATTCTAAAACCTTATGGTTGGTGATCCCAGCTGGCCTCTGCTGGTGCTCTGTGGTTATAATGCTGCAGACAAACAATGTTGTGGTAAATCACATAAAACCTAAGCACTGAACGTTACTAAAGTGTCATTCATTCTCCCCTTGTGTTTCAAACAGGCTTTCGATTTCACCAGGAAAAGTTGCTTCAAGAACTGAAGGATTATAAGTTTGTATTCCCACAGCTGGTTTCAGGAAGAGGGAAACGGAGTGTGGCCGTACTGCCTCAGGTAATGTCAGTGAGCCAGATCTCCAGGCTGAATCCTTCAACTCACCCCAACCCAGTGCTGCTGCTGCTGCTCCTGAAGGTGTGATCAGAATCTCAATCATTCATGATATTGTGTCAATAATTGGCCATGACCAGGAGAATAAGGAAAGAGGAGGGTGAGTCAGGGAGATCAAACGTGTGTGCAAGACAGGAGATAGCATTGTTCACAAATCGGCAAGTGAGACACACAAAGTCGGCAGTGGGGGGAGGGGAGCTGCTGTTTCTGATCAGCTGCCCCATGTCTTGGACTTCCTGATGTTAAACAGAGTTCCCCATAGAAAGGGGGTGCCCCAAACAAGGTCACTGTGATTTCCATGCCCCAGTGAATGCCCCAGTCTGGCTGTCCAGCCACTGACACAGCCTAGCAGCAGCAGCAGAAGAATTCTGTCCTTTCCCCTCCCCTTAGTGTCTCATACTAACCCCAGGCAGTTAAAGACCCATGGTAACTACTCCATGACAGTTTACCACTCTACAGGTTAGTGACATGGTGAATGAGAGCAGCTATCAGGAAATTGTTTGTTCCTTCTTCAGCTCAGGGTGAGAGAGAGAGAGATTGAGGTGCTTTTTCCTTTTCATGCTAGATCTTCCTCTAGTTTTTCCAAGTCTATAGTCACCTGCGCAGGATCCAATGCGGTCATTGTTACATTCCTGAGCTGACTTGAGCCCGCAACTTTTGGTCCTGACTAAAGAATCAATCCAAGGACAGTCTCATGGACATCCTGCCTGCATCAAAAACACACATAGACTGTGCCTGCTTGTCTAGCAGTCTCGCCCACTGCCTGAATAAGGCCACATTATGGATACAACTCACATCTGTCCCAGAAACACATTTTTAAAACTGCAGCATTTTCTTCCACAGATTCAAAGATTCAAAGCAGTATCTCTTCCCATTTACCATACACAGTCATAAAACAAATCATCTCTACATTGATATCATGCAGACTAACTAAGACTGGTATCTGAAATGCTGGGGACCACTGGGGGAGGCCAAGATGGATCATCTACTCGGCACGTTGCGAGTGCTTCAGCCTTATCTTTGGCATTGATGTGCTGGGCTCTTCCATCTTTGACGGTGGGGATATTTGTGGAGTGTTCTCCTCCAGCGAGTGGATTAATTGTCTACCACTATTCAGAGCACTAGGATCGGTGCTGAGTCCATTGCTTTTTGTCATTTATTTAAATGATTTGGATGTGAACATGGGAGGTATGGTGAGTAAGTTTGCAGATGACACTAAAATTGGAGGTGTAGTGGTCAGCGAAGAAGGCTGCCTCAGAATGCAGGGGTATCTTAATCAGATGGGCCAGTGGGCTGAGGAGTGGCAGATGGAGTTTAATTTAGATAAACGTGAGGTGCTGCATTTTGGAAAGGCAAATCAGGGCAAGATTTATACACTTAACGGTAAAGTCCTGGGGAGTGTTGCTGAACAAGGAGATCTTGGATTGCAGGTTCATGGTTCTTTGAAAGTGGAGTTGTAGTGAGATAGGATAATGAAGAAGGCATTAGGTATGCTTGCCTTTATTGGTCAGTGCATTGAGTACAGGAGTTCGGAGGTCATGTTGCAGCTATACAGAACATTGGTTTGGCCACTTTTGGAGTATTGCATGCAATTCTGGTCTCCCTGCTACAGGAAGGAAGTTGTGAAACTAGAAAAGGTTCAGAAAATATTTATGAGGATGTTGCCAGGGTTGGAGAGTTTGAGGTGTAGGAAGAGGTCTCACATGCTCGTGAGGGTAAGAACAGGAGGCCATATGCCAGTGAGGGTAAGAACAGGAGGATATGGCAGAAGAATGCGTAGCTAAATGATTGGTGCAGGGGGCAAGGATTCAGATTTCTGGATCATTGGGATCTTTTCTGGGGCAGAGATGACCTGCTCAAGAGGAACGGGTTGCACCTGAACTGGAGGAGGACAAATATCCTGGCGGGCAGATTTGCTAGTGCTACAAGGGAGGGTTTAATCTAGATTGGCAGGGAAGTGGAATCCTCAACAGCAGAAAGGCAAGTGCAAGGCTGGAAGGAGATACAGTAATCAGAAACAGCAAGTTGAAGAGTTGAATAGGACAGGGAGCGAGGAATGCCTGTTGGATTACATTGCATTTATTTCAATGCAAGAGGGCTGACAGGGATGGCCAATGAACTCAGGGCATAGATAGATATGTGGCACTGGGATATTATAGTCATAACAGAAACGTGGCTAAGGGATGGACAGAACTAGCAATTTAATGTGCCAGGGTACAGGTGCTTTAGGTGGGACAGAGGTGGAGGAAGGAGGGGAGTGGGAGTTGCATTTTTGATTAAGGGGAGTATCACAGCAGTAATCAGAGATGAAATAACTGAGGGATCATCCAGTGAGGCTTTGTGTGTGGAGCTAAGAAATAAGAAGGGAATGGTGACGTTATTCAGGGTGTGCTATAGGCCCCCAAATAGTCAACAGGAATTAGAGGAACAAATATGCAGAGAGACTGGGGAGACTTGCAGGACCAATAAGGTTGTCATAGTGGGGGATTTTAATTTTCCTAAGATAGACTGGGACTGCCATAGTGTTAAGGGCTGAGAAGGGGTGGGATTTGTTAAATGTGTTCAGGAAAGTTTCCTTAAGCAGTATATAGAGGGTCTTACTCAGGAAGGGGCAAAACCCAACCGAATCTTGGGAAATAGGGCAGGACAGGTGACTGAGATGACAGTGGGGGTGCAGTTTGGGAACAGTGACCATAATTCTATTAATTTTAAAATATTTATGGAACGGGACAAAACTGGTCCATAGGTTCAAGTTCTAAATTGGGGCAAGGCAAATTTTGATGGAATTAGACAGGAGTTTGCAGGGGTTGATTGGAGTAGTTTGTTTGCAGGCAAAGGGAACTCTGGCAAGTGGGAGGCCTTTAAAAGTGTGACAGCTAGAGTTCAAGATCTTTATGTTCTTGTGAGGGTGAAGGGCAATGTTGGCAGGAATAGGGAACCCTGGATGACAAGAGATATTGAGGTTTTTACCAGAAAAAAGGAGAAGGCATGGCTCAGGTACAGGCAGTTGGGATCAAGGAAATCTCTGGAGATATACAGGAGATACATAAGTTTACTGAAGAAGGAAATCAGGACAATGAAAAGGGGTCACGAGATAGCTTTGGCTGAGAAGATTAGGGTGAATCCAAAGAGATTCTTTAAGTATGTTAAAGGAAAAAGAATAACTAGAGAGATGATAGGACCCCTCAAAGACCAAAGTGGACATGTATATGTGGAACCACAAGAGTTGGGTGAGGTCCTCAATGAATATTTCTCCTCTGTGTGTACTGTGGAGAAAGACATGAAGGCTTGGGAAATTGGGGAAGTTAGTGGTGATATCTTGGGGACAGTCCATATCACAGTAGAGGAGGTGTTGTACATGTTAGAATGTATGAAGTTAGATAAATCTCCTGGTCCTGATCAGATGTATCCAAGAACCCTGCAAGAGGCTAGAGAAGAAATTGTGGGTGCCCTGGCTGATATTTTTGTATCATCATTAACCACAGATAAGGTCCCAAAACACTGGAGGGTAGCGAATATTCTGCCCTTATATAAGAAGGGCTACAAAGAAAAACCTGGGAATTATAGACCAGTAAGCCTAACGTCTATAGTAGGTAACATACTTGAGAAGATTCTGAAGGATAAGATGAGCATACATTTGGAAAGAAAAACAGATGTTGCTGGAAAAGCTCAGCAGGTCTGGGAGCACATGTGAAGAAAAAAAATCAGAATTAACGTTTTGGGTCCGGTGATCCTTTCTCAGAACTCTTTTTTTTCACAGATGTGCAGGACCAGGGAGAGAAGACTAAGTCAGGGTGGGAAGAGATGAGTTCTGTGGGGCACGGGCAGGCTGAGTGAATGGGTCTGCCCGGACAGAGAAATAAAGCTGAGGCCTTTGCTGAGTACAGAATGTTCAGCACCGAAGAGCGGAAGGCTAGGAGGGACGGTGGATACCTGACAGGAGGTGGGGTTGGGAGAGAGGATGGAGTCAGAGGGAAGGGAAGGAGTGGAATGTTCCAGAGGGCTATGGGTATCTTTGAGTTGTTGAATCTTGTGGGCCTTGATGTCTGAAAGGAAAAGAAAAAGTTTCTTATTAGCACAACGAATGAGCCGGAGAACGAAGTGGAACTGCAGAGTGGTACAGCCCAGAGGCAGTGTATTGTGATGCTGTTGGAGGGAAAGGTCGACGGTGTGTCAGTGACACCGCATGGCACTGAGTGTGGATTTCAGGATGCGGTGACAGCAGCTGTCTGTGGAACACTGAACTTCACTCAGATACCTGTGATCCTGGGATTGGAATCCACGTGGGGTGAGACTGAGCCAGAAGCAGCCACTGAGGAATGCGATGTGGCTGTGGAAACAAGTTTTAGCAAATACTTAGTCAAACACCAGGAGTGACAGTGAAATTAATGTCAGTGGACAAGAAGAAGGATTGAAACAGAAATCCTGTCGGAGAGAGGAGCAGAACTTCTTCAAGGTGGGCATGCCTAGAAGAAATGTGGCAGTGAGTTAAATACTGAATGAAAACTGAAAGAACTGCAGATGCTGTAAATCAGGAACAAAAACAGAAGTTGCTAGAAAAGCTCAGCAGGTCTGGCAGAATCTATGAAGGAAAAAACAGAGCTAACGTTTTGCGTCTGCTGGTCCTTCCTCAGAACTCGGATTTGCATTTGGAAAGATAGGGTTTGATTAGGAATAGTCAGCATGGCTTTGAGCGTGGGAAATCAGGCCTCACAAATTTGTTAGCGTTCTTTGATGAAGTGACCAGGAAGGTTGATTAGGGCAGGGCAGTGGATGTAGTCTATATGGATTTCAGTAAGGCCTTTGATAAGTTCGACATGGTCGGGTTAGATTAGATCGCATGGAATTCAGTGAGAGCTGACAACTTGGAATCACAACTGGCTTGATGGTAGGAAGCAGAGAGTAATAATGGATGAGACAACAAGGGGTAGAGATGGATGAACACA